TAAATTTAATAACTGACCTATTTCATGTAAGATATCAAATATTTCATGTTTTTTCGAGATGTAATATGGATTGCATTACTTCATATTCCTGTTCTATCTTTGTTTTGAAAGTCAGAATGCTGCAATCACTTGTCTGTATCCCTTTTGTTTGTTAACAGCTGTTGTATCCTTAAAGAGGTTACAAACAGACAAAGGTGGTACTCAAGTGAAGGAACAGCACATAGATAGAAGAAGAGAGGTTTATTGTAAAAGAGAATACACTACTGAAAAACAGAGAATCAGTTAGCAGGCTAGTAATTCCCAAAGCAAGCCCCCAGGTATATCCTGTGCTCACTATATATATCTACTGATATAGTCAATCCACGTAGGTGATAGGGAGTGTAGGACATTCCATTACAACATCATACTTAGTTTGTAAACTTCTTTGCCTCATTATTGTTTTTCTGATTTTTCTTTTGCATATATTGTTTATTTCATATTATTTTTGTCTCCTTTTTTTCTTTCTTATCGTCTATTGAAAACTGTCAGTTTTGTTTGTTGGGCATTTCTGCCAATTACATTTAACCATGGCCAATTAGTTTACATTAAGAAATATTATTTATCCAAATAAGTAAAAGGTGAATTTTTCATGTGAACTGATAGTGATAAGATTTTCCTTATTGCAATATATTGCCTTTAAATTTTGCTAGCACAATTTCTTTGCAATAATGCTTAATGCTTATTAGCAAACACACTGATCAATAAAGCAAAATATTAAATGCATTGTTACAGACACATTTGAACAGACAATTGACCTTTTGCAAAAGTAAAACTACTTTTGCTGTGGTTTTTATTTGTTCATTACAGGGAAACATTATTGTTATGGAGTGATTTCACCATGGAGGCTTGTATTTGTACTAAGTCGGTCTTAAAATAGGTTCGACGTACAAAACATTAGGAACTTGATATAATAGGTATAACGCAATAATCTAGTTGTGGTGGCTGATACTTTAATATCCGACTAACGGTCGTCTGGCATCAACTGACTGACCAAATCCCTGAGCGACTTAGCGACTCCTACTTATTATAGGTGGGAGAGTCTATTAACTATAGAATAGGTGTGTTCCACTATAACAATTATTTTAATAAGTACTATCCTCACTAATTTTGACACTCTTGGAAAATTGGATACAACTTAAATTGATGGATCCGCTTGTGAAAAATATTTTCAAATAATAAGCACACTTTCAAACTTGACCTTTGTAAATAGAAATAAAGTACAGGTAACTCTTTAAAACTCAGAAATCAATTTGTTACTTTATTTTATTTTTTTTTTTCAATAATGTTCACCCTGTACAAGGCCCGAGAACCACTCGATACAGAGGGGTGGAGAGTAAGAGGTAAAGAGCAAAGTTTTTGGGGATATGTACAGAAGATAATGGTTAAACCTAGACTTGAACAGGCCGTAGTGATCAGGCAAGCATCCTCTTGGGAGCCGTTTCTAGCAGTTTGTGGAAAGAAGCTGTTTGAATGGCACTAACTTTTATCTCCCCACTGGCTTAAAAAGGAAATGAGGATGTGGCATATATATATATATATATATATATACACACACACACTTATACCTCATTATTATGGAACTCTCTTTAACAGATATTGGAAGCAACAGACAAAATCAGGAGCAGCGGACTTCATTTGTAAGTCTTATGCACTACGGACGGAGTTGTGGCAACGCTTGATATGAGATGCTGCTTTGCAAACTGACCACTAGTTGGTAGGCCATCACTTTGTTTATGTCCATGTAACCAGATGTGTAGCTTATTGCTCCATGGGTTTCCCCCTTTTTTATATGCCAGTGTATTTAAGTGTTTGTACTCACCTCAATAAACAAGCCAAAAACGGCTTTTTTTTTTTTCTTTTTTTTTTAAATTAAGTATCATCCACACTTACAAAATGTGAATAACTCCTTGATTTTAGGTAATTTTTCATTCTGATGGTTGGAGTTGCTGCGGGACAAGCTAAAAATAAATTTTGATTTAAAATTTATAATTTCAAAAGAGTGCCAAAAATTTAATAAAAAATTTATAATTTCTTGGGATGAATTAATATTTGCGATAAGTAACTTTACATTATTTGGGGTCCTGTAAATTAACAGAAAAGATACGAATTACAAATAAAATAAAAAAAGCTTCAAGAAAGATTTTTCATTAAAATATATTTTCAACCTTACGTATTGATATGTTTTGTTTTTTGTTTTTGTTTTGTTTTCTTTTTTTGAAGTACCTATTTTTAACTTATTTTTTCATTATTATTTTAAATAGAAATAAATTGCAAGAGTCGAGTGCTGAAAGTTCCCAGTTTGACCAATGATCTGTTGCCAAATAAAATAAAAATTAAATTAAATCTGATCTTTGATCAGATGTGAAACAGGCTGATAGCATTTTAACTACTGACCCCCACCTAAACTAATTCTGCAATGATTGGAGGTCATATAATCTAAAAATAAAGGATTATCTACTACTCAGGTTGTCAAATTTGAAAAAAAAAATTTTTTTTAACGCAAAAAAAAAAAAAAAAAATATATATATATACACTGTGCTAACTTAAGGTATTCTTTTTTAACGAACAACAAATTGTGAAATGTACAGTGATAATTATTGACAGATTAAATTCGACTTTTAATCTTTCTAAAAATAAATAACTTAACTCCTCTATAAATTCCTCAAATTCATTCATTATCGATTCGGATTATATCTAATTATCTTCTTTCTTTTCCACACATTTTTAGACGATCTCGTGTCCCCTCTAAAGGGCACTCGGTTCGGGTCATTTCCAACAAAAAATAAACATACTAACAGAAATAAAAACTAAAAACAAAGTGTAAGAAACATCAATAAGTTAAAAACTAAAAGAAAATCGTATTAGTTTGGGAAAGCATTTATTTTTTTTAATGTAACGATAAAAGTTCAATGTTAAAATTTGGAAATTGCTTTTTTAAAAATTATCAAACATTTCATTTCAACACAGTATCTTTATTTAATTATTTTTTTATTTATCATTTAACAACATCAGCCTCATCAATAATAAAAATAATAATAATTATTATTATTATTATCATCATCATCTGCTCCGGTCATGTCTTCTGAACAGAGTGTGTAGTGATGAGACTCACTAGTTCGGTATTTTAATCCTCATTTTATGATACGAATTACAAAAATTACTGTTGTCTAGGGTTTTGTTTTGGGATCTACATTTTTGTTTTGGGATCTAAATTACTATCTACATTTTTGTTTTGGGAAAATATTTAACTGTTATGTTAGAATAGATTTTTATTTTTTATTTTGCTTTTTTAGTTTTGAGAGCGTGTGATAATGAACCTCACAGACCAGTCACTGAGGAAGATGATACTGCAGCTGTTATGATTTGTGTTTGATAAATAAATAAATTTTTTTTTTTTAAATTGAACAAGATCAAATTTCGCATTCCAAAACAATTAAATTTTTCAGTTCATTTTTTTTTAATTTTATTTTTAAATCTTCGTACATCAACTCTTTTTTTTTTTTTTTAAATTCTGGACAATTTTTTTTCTTCTTGAAACAAACAGAAACAAAACAAAAACAAAAACTGCCTAACTCTTAATTTAGATTTAAGAAAAAGTCTTTTTAATTCAAGAAAAAAAAACATAAAAAAAACATGTTTAAAAAAAAAATGAAAGGAAATATTTTTTATTAAAATTTAAGGGAGATTATGTTTTTTTTCCTCCTGCTTGTATACGGCAAGATTTATGAGGACTTAAATGACAAAAAAATATATCTATTTTAAAATATATATTCTTCAAAAAAATAAATGAAATGAATAATTTTTTCGTTTTTTTCATAAAATCATTTACACATGTTAAAAAAAAAAATAGAATAAAAAAGTTTAGTGCTGTAAAATATTTTTGCGAAGTACATTTATTAATATGAAATAGTAATAAAAAGTAATTTCCCGGTTTGTGAATAAACTTAAATTAAAAATTAAATTAATTTCTGTCTGAAAAGAAAATCGATTTTGAAAGAAAAAAAAAAAGGGTGTGTCTCTTCAAAGAATTAATTTCGCCGCGCACCTACACTTCACTCACTGTAAAAAAAAGTACAATAATAAGAAAAATCGTTTTCTAACATATCAACATCTATATGGGTCTTCTAACGTTATTTCTGTTTGTCTTTGATAAAGAGCAAAAAAATAAAAATTAGCGAACGAAAGCATCCTTTTTCTCTAAATTATTTGTTTGTTTTTTTTTTCACCATGGAAAACTAAAAACAATTGGGTTTGGTTGATGTTTTTGCTGACATTGTCAATGCTTGCCAGACATTTACACACTTTGTAGAATAGATTGAGAAAATATAGAGTGAACAAGACTGTCCTTTACTGAATAAATAATATTAAGTTAATATTATTAATTTAAGAAAAGCCTAAGTTCCGGAAAATCTAAAAGACGATTTTATTTTTATTTCTAATAAAAAATATTTGTAAAGAAAATCAAAATAAATAAGAAAAAGAAGAGATAGATTGTGAAAAAGAAAAATGATGCTAAAATGCGCGGACTTATTTTTATTTTAAATATTTGAAAATTTTTTTATTATTTTTTTTTTAAATGACTAAAGAAAAAGTGAAAGTAATTAAAAAAAATATTGGAAAATAAAGTGAAACCTTAATTAAATTCTTTACTAAATTATACCCAACTGAATGAGTGTGAATAGGAATTTAAAAAAAAAATCAGGTAAAAATAAAAAAAATGATCGATTTTTCTTATTTTTATTGATTCGCGTTTTTAACTTTAAAATTGACTATTTTTTTCGTTAAATCATCCTTTTTTTTACACGATTTAAATAATTAATTCGATAAATATTTTGGCTCAAATTTCACTCATCTCATTTAAACGAAGTGTAAACAAAATATATAAGAAAAATAAAATATAAGTAAAAAAAAAAAAAATCATAAACGAGAATAGGGATAAAAAAAAAAAAGAATTTATTTACCTGCAATTTATGAAAATAAAACCCGGTTGCTGGTATAGAAACATATTTAACTACAGGCGGCATTAAAGACCACTATTTCAATAAGGACCACTATTTTAATAAGAATCACTTTTTCAATAAAGACCAGTATTTCAATAAGGACTGAGTCGATCTCTCTTTCTTAGAAAAGTCAAGTATTTATTTTAATTAAGTTAGCCATTTTTTTTTTTAATTTAAACAAACAAAAAATACCATCACGGTCACATCAAACTTTATTAATTTTATTAATATATATTTCCTTTCAAAAAAAATAATTATAAAAAAAAATTTTTTTTTCCAAACCTACAGTAAAAATTTTACTGTAGGTTTGGAAAAAAAAATTTTTTTTTCCATTTCAATTAATTTACATTTTACTATTATTTACAAACAAAATGTGAGTGTTTTATGATTTTATCCCTTGTCTTTTTTAGTTTTTTTTTACTTTTCCATTTCAATTAAAAATTTATATTTTTTTTTGTTGTTGTTTTGTTTTTACTATTTAAAAAATTTACAAAAAAAATGTCAGTTTGTTTTATGATTTTATCCTGTTTTGTCTAAAAAATAAAAAATACCAACATAAAAAAAAACATACACAAGTTTTTGGGGACAATGTGATTTTTCTTAGTAATCTATTTTTTTTTATTAAAAATAAGGAGGTTGATAAAATTTATCAAAACGGTTCTTGTTTCAATTTTTTGTTAGTAAATTGTTATTTTTGTCTTTTTAAAAATGATATGAAATCACTTTGGAAAACTTGACTTTTTACAATGATTTCTTCAGTAATTGATTTGAAATGTTTGTATCACTTCAAACAATAAAATTTTAATTTCTGTTTATTATTATTATTACTTAAATCAGTGCCTTCATAATAATGAGAAAATAAAAGAAAAATTAAGGCTGATCAGTTGAATTAAGTTAAAATGTGTTAAAAAAACATTATTTTATTTCTGATATTGAAAGTAGAAATAATATTTTTAAAGACAGACATTTTTAGTCGTTTGCAAGTCATTAAAAACCTTAGTTTTTTTTTGTGAAATAGAGCAATTGAAAGTGAAATCAATTTTTTCGAGCAGGTTCAATGAAACTTGTGAACTTTCTTTTTCTTCCACTTTAAAACGAAAAATTTAAAATAAATATTTATACAGAAATTGTCTGTTTTTAACTTCGAACATTTATTTTTAAAAATTCTTACTGTCTGTTATTAACTTTAAGCTATAATTCCTGATGAGCGGATTCATTACTGCGAAATTTGAAGTCGAGAGATAAGTTTTTGAACTTTTTTATTTTTTATCTACTAAAAAATATTTATTTTAAATGAAAATATTTTCTCGATGATTTGTTTTTTTATTCTATAACCACAAAAAGCGACATGAACCCGCCCCGATAACTTTCCGACCCTACCAAAGCGCACCTTCTTAAATTTATCTTCTATGACTTTTTAAGTTTTTCCTGAATATTTTCTTGTTACATTTTTTAAGTTAACGTATATCCAATATTAATAAGCATTTTTAATTTAAAGTTCCACTCGTTTAAATTCTTCTAACTCCAAAAATTAAATAATTTTCTTAACATTGTTAAAAATTATTTAAGAAAAAAGGAGAAAAAGAAACAACTTTCAAACACATTTTGCGTTTGAAAATTTAAAAAAAAACGTAACAAAAAAGTTCGAGCAAGGGGAACCTGCTTTCCAATAACTTTTTAGCTTTCTTGGGGGCGGTGAGAAATTTACGAAAAGGCTAAATATTTTTTAAAATTTTAAAATAAAAAAGTGTTTGCTCCCCAACGGCGAACATCTTTTTCTTTTTTTTTTCTTTTTTTTGTCCGTTCGAAGAAGCGAAAGAAAATGAAAAAAAAAAAAAAAACAACATTGACTTGTGTATGGCTTTTCTTTTTTTTTTTTAATGTGCCCGTAAAAAAGGACGAACGAAATGTCTGTCAAAAAATCCCCCAAAAATGGTTACATTATCTAGAAAATGAACATTGCATTATTCTGAAAGTAAGATGACATTACTTTTAGTTTTAAAATTCATTTCCAAGAAAGTTAAAAAGAAAAAATGTTTAAAAAATTTTGACAAAGAAGGAATTTAAAAAATGAGTTTACTTTTTAGTTTTTACTGAGTTTCGTATTGCAAGTACTTTTTTCACTGTCAACTAAATTTGAAATAATAAATAAAAACTTTTTTTAACGATGTAATGAAAACGAAGGATCAACCTTTTTTGAAAGTCTTTTTAAATTCATTTTTATTTTATGTTTTTTTAAATATATTTAAAAAAAAAAAATTTTACGCAATATTATTTCAGTATTTCGTTGATTACAATAACAACGTAAAAATCGTTGCTTAATTTTTGTCTTGTCATTAATAAAATAAAATGAAATTCTTCTGTTTAAAGATGCCCTAAAAAGATCGAAAAAGGAAAGCCAAATTCCAAACCCTTTCCTTATATAAAGCCATCATTATATAGATTTTTGTTAGGGCTAATACTTTCTATGGGGCTGTGGTGGCCGAGTGGTTAAGGCGTTGGACTTGAAATCCAATGGGCATTGCCCGCGCAGGTTCGAATCCTGCCCGCAGCGTGGCTTTTTTTTTTTTTTTGCGTATTTTCTTGCTCCGTACAATAATAAAACATTGTTATATCTAAAAGAAATTTATTTATCCATCTTTATTTATTTAAAACCAGATCTGAATGTGGAAAAGGAACGTACAAAAAGTTTTCGTTGCAGTCGATGACGTAAAACATTTCAATTTTTAATTCGAGGTTTCGTCGCAAAAAAATGGAGTTTCCTCGCGAAGTTAAAAAATGATTCAACTACAGGAGAAAACTTCATTTTAATTTAAAAATCTGTTTTGTCCGGGAATTTCAGAAAAAAATTGAGTTTTATTGTGATGAGATCGAGCGAAGCAATAATAATGGGTGTTCGATTTTTATATTAAAAAAAAAAAAAATTCTAAATAAAAATTCGAGTCCCTGGCAAAAATCGCCGGTGTACAAGAAAATCCCAGCTTCTTCTCAAAAGTGGACCAAAATTCCAGTCTCTTAAACAGAAACAAATTTAACATTGAACATTCAAGGAACTTTTAATTCCAAATTTCGTGTCAAATCTTCGATTTTTACCGCTGAATTGAACCCTGATTTTGTGTCCGTCTTTATGACGGCGGCGGGGTTGAATGAAATGCTAAAGTGGATCCTCATTTTATCTAGCAAACAAACTCCCTATTATTCAGTAATTTCGTTTCTGGGTAACAACATAAAACATTTATTTAAAAAAAAGAGCAACAATCTCTACTTTTTTTCTATTTATTTTTTCAGTTAGTTATGTGACAACAGGTGTCATTCTTTCGTAAAAATAAATGTATATATATATTTTTTTAGGGTCAGCGTTTGACCAAAATTAGTGCCTGGGCGGGTACAAGTCAAATATTATGGTCCGTGATGATGAATGTTTGCAACGTTACGATGTGCGATGATTTTTTTTTACTTACAATCGTTCGAAGAAAGGAAGGAAGGAAGGAAGAAAAAATATTAAGTCGATGAAATAATAAAAAATATATATAACAAACAATTAAAACAATACGAATACTGTAAAAAATGCAAATATTTTAATTCAGGGTATTGAAATAATGTCATTAAAAAAAAAAAAAAAAAAAAAAGCAAAAAAGCAAAAAGTTCAAATTTACCTGATCTTGAGATTGTAATTTTTCACATAATTTCGTGACATCACATGCATTTCATCACGGACCACAGTACTTGACTTGAACTTAATTCTGAAAAAAAAAAAAAAACGGAATTTAAATAAAAATCCAGTTCGATTTTTTTCAGTTAAAAACTTAAAATACGCACCTGCCGTCAAACGAGAGATAAGTAGTTAGTAGATTGATCGAAAACCATTGCAAATTCTTGTGGCCTTAGGTCGAACTGAACTAAGATTATAAGAGTGCCTGGTGGAGGGTGCTGGTTTGTAAACAATTGAGTTCCATCCTTATATTCACTGTGCCGCATGTTTATAGATTTGAGTTGACCTATTTAATTAGGTAAATCAATTTTTTAAATAGTAATTACCTCCCTTGTTTTACGGCGAATGCAAACCATGAAAAAAAAGAACATTATAAACTATATTTACACAAAATCTCTCTCCTCTTTATTTACAGGCATTCTATAACTAAAATCTTGGCACCTAAAAGAAGGGGTTTGTTGCATAGTCCTATATCAGAGGTTTCAAATTTTGTCACCTTTTTTATATATTAATGTTCACCCAATACAAGTTCGAAGAGCCACTCAAGGTAGAAGGTAACTATGTGGTGTTGTGTGAGCATAAGAAATGGCAAGAAGTGATGTTCCTGAAGTTATGCAGGAAAGATAATGGTTAACCGTAAATTTGAAGAGGTCAAGATTCTAGTGATTTGGAAAACATCCTGCCGGTAGTTTGTTCCTCAATGGAGCATTTATTGGCAAGAAGCTCTCCAAATGAAACCTCCTCCTTACTAATGGAATACAAAGGGAATGGGGATCATTCACACTCGTGTACGTGGTGTGGCATGTCCCAAATGGTAAAGGTCAGAGGTGATGGGACTGAGGAGTCTAGCTCGTCAGAACACATGCCATGGAAATAGCGATGGAGCGGTGAGAAGCTCGCGACATTTCGTCTGTGGGAAAGGGAATCGCTGATTCAACACAACAAAAGTTAAAAAGCAAACAATGTCTACAAAATGATATAAAATTGAATATACTAACAAACATACAATTTTCATAGTAATTACTGTATTACTAGCCTAATAGTTTCATAGTCTAATGAATTATACTTACCAAAGGTTAAAGTTGGAAACGTCTTCTTCTGCATACATGTTATTCTTTAGCCGTCACCAATTGGGATTTGTACCGTTTCCCTTGTTATTTTAAAAAGTAATTTGAAAGATATGGCTTCGAAAAGATCATTTGGAAGTGGCTCTTATTAGCAATATTCCATTTAGGGGAAAGCACGCCCTTGTGCAGAAACGTTAAATTGAATATAAAACATTTCCAAATAAATTCTGATCAAGATTTTGCAAGAACTAGAACCAGGGCCAATGTTTGGACGCACGATCACCCTTTCAGGAATTTGCAGCACCAAGAAGGCAGTGAAGAAAGGACTAAACATCAATTGTTTGTATATATTTCTGATATTGTAACTATTTACACTATTTACATTGTAGTGACTACTACTATGTTTGCCACGCCTAGATTTTTCTCAACTGTGATTGGTTAAATAATAAATACTAATTATCACAGGACAATTTACTGATCGCAGTCACCACACTGAATTTTTCCTACCGTTAATTTCACAAACATGCTTTTGTTATAAAATCACCGATTGGTTAATTTTTCATCCAATCAGATATTTTTTGTGTTCTTTCCAAATTCTCCCGCCTTTGTTCCCGGAGCCTACCGGTGGTAATAAAAGCGAGGTTTCGTTCCAAAAATAGACAGTAGAACTCAGCAACTCACATGCGTCTACACAGACTATTCATTCTACTCACTGCGCACACAGACACAGAACTTGAATTACATTTCACCCTCAGTTCTCTGTGAAAAAGCCAAGTTACACACAACGCTGTTAGTTATACAAATAACGCACAACTGAATTAACTGTATATTCTTCTGAATACAACATTCTATTTCAACATAGAACTTTGAACATTCTATTCATGAAACATCCGTAATTACATTTATTCTTATTCAAGCTAACAGATAAAGGGAAACTACTTTTTTTCTCCTTAATATTCACACATTACAAAAATTGTTTTATATTTGTTGATTTTAACAGTAAAAGTTCTGGTTTCGAAAAATCAGGTATATGGTGTGAGAGTAGGAACAGGTGAGTCTTTCTTATCTGTCCAAGAAATTACAATACATTCTTATATCCTTTAAAATAAAATAATATTAAGTAATAACGAAGCTTCATATTATATGTATATAAAACCGATGATAATTAAATTGATAAAATAAAATAAAAATAATATACAAACGATATATAGCGATGATCGAGAGAAAAAAAAACTCTATAAATACACTATGTACGTGTTCCTGGATAGGAAATTACACCATTATAAAAATAAACAATATGATGCGTCAGGTGCAAAACGATAATGGTGATACAACCTGGATTCACCGTGCACATATCCGACGACTGGCTCCATGTCCAACACATCTATCTAATACAATCCTTCTGCTTCCACCATGTAACAGTCACCAGGATCATTCTCCTCCACATCCCTCAGGGACACATAATTCAGCAAATAACTCCATACCAAAACAAATGTCAATAAGAAAAACACGAGGACAACTTCCAACACGCTTCAGAGACTTTATCATGAATTAATCACCCAAATATACACGAATAACGCTCACTGAAAATCAGACCGAGACCTGGGGGAGCCTTGTTATAAAATAAAATAAGACATATCTCGGCTGATTTGCAGGCAAATAAACTAACATACTCAAGAGCGAGAGCCGGATGTGAACGGGACAAGGCCCCGTCACAAAATGACCATTATCGTCGTTTGCGCATAGGTCCGACGCACAAGTTCCGGTCGAAAAATAAAATAATATTTTAAAGTGTTTCTATTTTTCGACCAATAAAAATGCTTCCCTCCTAATTATACTCGCGTCGTTTTTCGAGCCTGTTAAGCCATAAAAAACGCCATAAAAGGGGTCACACGGGGAAGTACTGGCAGTCAACAGGAGGCCAGGGAAGAGATCTGTCACATACAGTCTGGGCAGTCAGCAGAGGAGCGCCACGCCAACCAGTGAGAACTACTATGAGAGATCAACCCAGATCGGCAGCCGACTTATGAACTATACAACAAGGTAGCCGTCTCAAACCCACACGTTCCTATTGAAATAAATCACGTAAATTTATTTCTGCTGTTGTCGTATTTATTTCTTGCAACCATACGCTTGTCTATAACAGTGTTATAATTCCGATTAAAATATACAAAATGCGAAATATTCGTGTAAAAATAAAATTTAAAAAAATATGAGAATAGAAGACAAAAAGCCTTACAAGATGTATCGCGCCGAAACCGCTAAAAAGTAAATAGTAACTTAAAATTACCGCGTATAAATTGAGTTTAGCATAAAAAAATACATATTTACAAATAACACAATTTACAAATTGACATGATACATTCATTGACTGTACCTGTACAATTCAAGTCATGTATTTAAACATAAAAAAGGTGATGTTTATTGCCATGTTACAATTATATTAATAATTATTATTTACAGATTTACCCGACTTGATAATTATTTTGTTTCATTGTTATACTGGAACATACCTATTCTATTGTTAATAGACTCTCCCACCTATAATAAGTAGGAGTAGTAGGAGTCGCCAGTGAGTTGGTGAGTCAGTCGATGTCGGACATTAAAGTATCAGCCACCACAACTAGATTGCTGCGTCATTAACTATTATATCAATTTCCTAACGTTTTGTACGTCGAACCTTTTTAGGACCGACTTAGTGAAATACAAGCCTCCACTGTGAAACTACTCTATGACATACATTGAAGTCCAAGAGCTATCACGTTTAGTCCATAACCATTTTCCTGTCCTTTCTGTTGTATTAGTTATGGTCCGAATCGCCTTTCTTTTGTTAGCACCTACTAAGCCAATATCAATTAGGGCTTTGCATAGGGACCTTGCAGCAAAACCCCTTGCACCTACTTCGATTGGCAAACAGCTTGATTTCCATCCATTGTTTTTACAACTCGTTATTAATTCGTCATATTTTAACATCTTCCGTTCGTGGGCTTCTTCTGCATGCTCTTCCCAAGGCAACTGTCAGTTCGCACATTATTACTTTCTTAATATTGTTAGAGAAGAATACTAAATCTGGGCGTAATGATGTTTGCATAATGTGGTCAGGGAAATTTAGTCTTTTTTCCTAAGTCGACCCTTAATTCCCAGTCTGTTGCCAATGACAAGTATTCACTATGTTCTTTCCCCCTTTTTTTTAGGTTTTTCACCAGCTCTATGAAACTCTATGGCTCTTTTATCTAGGTTTCAAGTATTAGTGCTGATGGCCATACTAACTATCTTTGCTATATCCTTTATGCCTCCATCAATACCGGCCTTCCGTTAGTGCTGTCTTACAGCTATTTAGAATATGCTTTAGAGTTCCTTGACGCGAGCACAATTGGCATAAGGGCGATTCTGTTTTATACCATGAGTGGAGGTTGGTAGAACTGGGAAGGATGTCGTATACAGTCTGAATTAGGAACTTTATATTGATATCATTATATATATCCGACCATTTGATTTTCCTATAAATCATGGATTCCCAATTGGTCCACGCACCTTGTTGCCTTAGTCCTATCATCTTTGCCACCCTTTTCTCCTCCTCGCCCTTACGTACTTCTTGTATTAAAAGGTTCTTTTCTTTACCTTCGTCTCTGTCCACCCGAATGGTAGGAAAAAACCCTAAGCCCTCTCGTCCAGTAGCCACGGCGCCTAATATGGCCTTTTCGCGAAGCCTTTCTTTAGCGACACGCAATTCGTTCTATGCTCTCCATTTCCTTCCTGAGTAGACTTCAATGCCTGCTCCAGCCACCTTTGGATCTTTGGGCGACTTGTACTGCATTATTGTTCTAATTTTGGTGACTTTGAATTCCTCTACTAGACTTCTGAAAGGAAGTTGCAGTGCATTGGTATTGCCGTATAGAGCAGCACTGGTCAAACTCTTCTCCATTTTTTTTTTTTTTTTGTGCTCGTGTCATTGCTTCAAAATAAATTCCAGGATTTATGTTATATGCTGTGGTTTTTTTGGAAGATTATTTGCCAGAATATTTGAAGTGTCTTTTATATGTTGAATATCAGTCGTGAATTGACTGATAAAATTTAGGTGTCTGAGTTCATGAAGTGAGTAGTCATCCGATTTCACATGAATTGCCCCAAAGAAGGGTTTGTGATCGATTAGTACATAGAAGGATCCTCCTTCTGTCTCCTGGTATAATATACACACAGCAATAATGTTATTCCGGGTAATAAAATGTAAAGTAACGACAAAACTATATATAGAAAGAAACGAAAATATCTGTATTAACAAAACAAGGGTATAGAAAGACACT